ATTATTAAAACAAAGATAAATTAATATAAATTATCAAATATCAAGAAAAATACAATTCGAATGGCGTATTTTAGGCGGGAATTTATAAATTTTTGATCTATAAAAAATATATTTTAAAAATTCCCTAGTTGTTTCAATCTGGTTACTTTCATGACGTCAATCGCTATCGTCGACAATGATGTGGTAGGAGAATGTAGTAGTGAAAGACATGACAGGTTGTGCGCACTACCCCGTTAACTGCTTGTAACTAAATGCCAATTGAGCAGTCCATTTAGCCCATCACTTAAAGCTTTTCAAGAGGTCTTCTATATCTCACGAATCTGGGACGTTGAATAAAAAAATGCTATTTGTTTTGTGAAAATTGCAATGAAATCATTGTATTTTGTTTCATCAATTCCGCGAACTGTGCGATAAAAACAATGCTGACATGAATCAGTTTTTACAAAAGTACAATTCTAAACGGCAATAATGATGCGTTAAATAAAGTGTCGATCACTCGAGAAATTGTTCGAGGAAGCAATGGAAGATGAACAGCCAGCAAGAGAGACGAATAAGATTTGCGGTGTATGTGGTGATCGCGCACTCGGTTATAATTTCAACGCGGTTTCGTGTGAAAGTTGCAAAGCTTTCTTCCGACGGAATGCTTTGAAAAACAAGGTGACTAATTTGATAGTTCTGTAGATTTTTCATGAATCATTTTTAATAGAAAATTGCAATAATATTAATTCTCATATTGGATATTCAATAAATGTATTTATGAGTATGATAAATTAATATTTATTTTGTTTTTTTCTTTTAATTCAAATTAAATGTTATAATAAGATGGCGTAACAGATAAATAAAAATTAGATTTCAGTTAAATAATAACAGCAAAATGATAATAGAAGGACAATAGAAAAGAAATTAGTATTTATATTATAGTTAAAAAGTTTGCTAACTATATATAATAAAATACTTTTTCTTAATTTATTCATTTAAAATTTTTTCACAGGATTTTCGATGTCCATTTACTGAGAATTGTAATATTACTCCAGTCACTAGACGATTTTGTCAAAAATGCCGTTTGGATAAATGCTTTAGCATAGGCATGAGAAAAGAATATATTATGTCTGAAGAAGATAAGGTATTAAAACGACAAAAAATAGAACAAAATCGTGCAAAAAAAAGACCAATTTTAGAGAATACAAAACCATCAAAAATTAAGAAGAGTTTAGATGATTGTAATTTTGATGATACTTCTATGTCAATTAATTCAGTTGCATCAACTGCATCAGACACATATTTCTGGGAGTCTGATAGAAAATATACAGATTTAGATGCAAATAGACAAACTGTAACAGAGAGTTTAAGTCCAGTAACAGCTGCAAGTGTTCCAAGTCCTTCTAGTCCACCAGAAAATGGAGTTATAAGTGGATCAAAAACATTAGACATGATGAAAGACTCTTCACATAATTCTAACTTTGAAAATTATGATCATTCTTCTTCACCTCAAGAAGAAAATGAAGTTGATGTAGAAAAGTTGAGAATGAATTCAAATTCTCCTTCTCAAAATCAGCAAAGGTTTGATAAAATTAAATCTTCTCATAATTTAGAAAAGGATAAAAAATCAATTATAACTTCAAAAAAGTTTAATCAAAATATGTTAGACTTAAATTCTGAATTTACTTCTACTAACCATGAATCTATGAAATATTCTCCTGAATTTGATAATGCATCTTGTTACAATAAGTTTGATTCTAGCTCTATACAGAGTTCTCAATATATTGAACATACAACACATTATAAAAGAACAAATATAGATATGAATTCAGAAATCCATATGGAAATTTCTTCAGAAGAAACAGTATCTAGTCAAAAACAAAATAAGGAAATATATCCAAAGGAAGATAATTTCGTTAGTAATAAATTCCCACAAGAATCTACTTTGATCGCCAAACTCGTTAATAATTCGAGTTTTATTACGAAAATATTTCAAAATGAAGAATTACTCTTAAAGATTATGTCAGATCCTGTTGTTATTAGCAAATTAGAGGCAGATCCTCAAATTTCACAATTCTTTAAAAAAAATGGAATCATTGCAGATAAAGAAGTTTCATCTGAGAAAGAAACGAATATTCATTTAAAAGATGATGTGAAACTAAATCACAATAATTCCAATCAAAATGTATTTAAATCAATATTCAAAGTTAAGCAGAGACAAATAGAAAATCCAATTTTAACTGATTTAATTACAAATTCGAGTCAAGAAGAATGTATAAAAATACAACGTGATGAATCTAATAGTTCTGAATGGAATAGAAATCTATCTGATGTCACAAGAGATGTGCTTCAAGATGTACAAAGGTATAGTCAAAATTTACATTTGTTTAAAATCTGAAAAATCATTTTAAAATATGTCATCTATGGATTATATTTCAGAATACCAATTGCTGCGAATTCCATTGAATCTATTCTTTGTGAAGCAATTAAATTAGAATTTTCAGCATATTCTACTCTTGGTGGTATGGAGACTAGAAAAATATTAAATGATGCTGAAAGAGCAAAGTTAAATGAATTAATAGTAGCCAATAAAGCATTATTAGCTCCTTTAGACGAAGATATAACAAATTTAATTGGAGAAGATTGTAAATTTAAGGTAATATTTATTTTTAAAATGGTTTAAAAATATTTTTAGATGTTAACATATTTTTGATAAATTCTATTTCAGAATAATTTTGGTCAATCCGATCCAGCTCTATTAGATGTTGTGAATCTTACTGCCATAGCCATTAGACGCTTAATAAAAATGGCGAAAAAAATAAATGCGTTTAAAAATATGTGTCAAGAAGATCAAATAGCTCTTTTGAAAGGAGGATGTACAGAAATGATGATTTTAAGATCAGCACTTAATTATGATATTGAGAAAGATATGTGGTGGATACCACATAGTCAAGAAAGTATGTCTAATATAAAAGTAGATGTATTAAAAGAAGCAAAAGGAAATCTTTATGCAGAACATGCAAGATTTATTAGAAGTTTTGATCCAAGATGGAGAGATGAGAATATAATTTTAATTTTAAGTGCAATTGCTTTATTTACACCTGATAGACCAAAAGTGGTACATAATGATGTAATTAAATTAGAACAAGTAAGTTTTATACTTTTTATATTATGTATAATGTTATCTGTTATATAATTTTTAATAATATATTTTTTTTATAGAATTCTTATTATTACTTGCTTAGACGCTATCTAGAAAGTGTTTATTCCGGATGTGAAGCCAAATCCATGTTTTTAAAATTAATTCAAAAAATTTCCGATCTTCATAGATTAAACAACGAAGTTGTTGGAGTATATCTTAATTTAAATCCGTCGAGGGTAGAGCCACTTCTTATAGAGATATTTGATTTGAAACATTGATCGAACGTGTTCAATAATGAATAGATATTAAATGTAAAATGTTTTTAATTAGTATTTCTCTAAATAGCAAAAATAAAACTATTATGAATTTATGTCAATAGATCGCATGTTCGTACAAGTAATTAATAGCAATAATATGAAGAGAGAAATGTTATAACTATGAAATCAGAATGTGATTGGAAATATACAAATATATGTATAGGTTAATGTACATAAAATTATATGAACAATACCGCCAAAAGTTTATTCGTATCAGAATATCGATATAGAATTACATATATTAAAATATCTATATCGATTTACAGTAATGTTCTGTTAACATCAAAATATTTCGATTTATATAATATAATTATCAATATAAAACTATAAAACAAATATAATACTATCAAATCTATAATAAATTTAGATTTCTATCTTCTTCCATGTTTAAATCACATCAATAAAATAAATATAATAAATATGAAGTAGAAAAGAATTATATTCTATTTTAAGGTTTGAAACTATAAATTATTATTTTGATTGCTAAAATGAATTTTTAATTTTTTTTTTAATATCCTTGATTAAACTAAACGGACGATATGCGTTTTTTAATTTGAATTCATTAATTTAAAAATTTAAAAATTATAAGTTCTTTTTAATCGATATTAACGGAACATTATTTTAATTAATTTCTGATAGAATGTAAAAAATTATTGTAATTAAAGAAACTTTTATTTTTATGTAAAATATTAATATCAACGATTGTCTAATCATAAAGATAATTTTCAGAGATAGTTCGAAGTATAAAGGTATTTCGTCATTTCATATCATTTTTTCGAGAATAAATATATTTGTTCATATGTTAACGAAAGTACCTTAAATTGTTAAATCTAGAGAAAATTTGTTATTTCAGTATCAAGTTCTATATTCATGTTTAACGAATTTATAAATATAAAAGAAAAATATTTCTTTATTTCAAAATAAATTAAAAATTATGTATGATAAACATGAATTCAGTACTTGATATAAAAATTGAAAAAATCAATACAAGCAAGAGAATGGAAGATATAAATTGTGTAATGTGTATTCACGTTACAAATATTAGTATGTAAGTAATAAATTGTGATATTGAGTCAAAATATATTTTTCAGATACTTGTTATATATGACTTTAAATATATTATTTCATTCCTTTTACTATTATATTATTAATTAATTTTATATTTCATAGATTATATACGATTTAAAAATAATACCTTTTTTAAATTAGCCATTAGTCATTTTCAGGCCAATAACCAAATAATCGCAGGATTACAATTATGATGAGGCAACAAGAGGCAAGAAACAATCCGAAGCTGACGAGAAGAAGGAACAGATATCCCAGTATTCTAAGGACGGATAGAAACAAGTAAACTACCCAATCCCAGATTGTTTTCAATATCATTTTATGTATCACTTAAAATTTATCAAAAAGAAAATAAACAGAGACAACGGGATAATCGATATTTCATATCCGATATGCTATAGTGGTGACAGAATCTTTATCAACGAATTAATCAAATGAGAATGTCAATTGTTATACATGCATAAATATAACGAACGATTAATAAATTTATTGCTTGCAATTTCTTTATATTTGTTGCTATTGAAAATATTCTAAGAGATATTCTAAGAGATATATATAAAATGTAAGTATAAAATATAATCATCGTTATTATTTGTTCTTTTATTTATAATTCCTATTCGTAGTGCTACAAAGAATGTATTGGGGATTTTCAGTTTCTATTAAATCTTTTGTTACGTCAAATTTTACATAATTATCGCGCTTATAGTGATAAAACGGTTCAATGTTATCTTCATAGGATTTTGTGAATATCCAATTGATTTTTTCAGCTGCAAGATAACAAGCGCCCAACGCAGATGTTACTTTTAAACGAATCAAAGTTAATTCATCCAAAACTTGAGATTCATGGATTTCATCTATAAAAGCATCCTTCATAAAATTCCATGATTTCCAGACTGATCCGACGCAAATAATCTTTAATCCTCCGTGAGCTAATTTGAGGTCCTAAAAAATCATTTCTTATATTCAAACAAAATATATATTTAATTTATAAATTTAAATAACTCACATTATGGGCCTTCTTCGCGAGAGCTATAATGTGTTTTGCAAGATATTTTCCATTTTCCTGGAGAATATGTAAACAAAGCAGATCTTTTTTTTCACAACCTATCACAATTTCCTTGGCAAATTTAGCGAAATTGGTTTTATCAAACTCATTATAAAAATGTGATAGCATCTCTTTTCTATCTGTTGCATTGAAATAATATCTCATAGCTGGCCATACATAATTTATAGGTTTAGGTGCTTTAACTAAATCATCTATATCATCGAATACATATTTACAAGCTCTATACGCGATCCAGAAAGCTAAAAATTTATTATAATAAAAATAATTAAAATCAGTTTTTTAATATTATAATCTCGGTCAGATATATCAATCACTTAAGGCCATTTCCTTTTATAGCGAATCAAACAATCTCTACCACTTACCACTGCCTTCGTCCCCTATAAAATATCCCCATCCGCCGCATGTTGTCGTTGTTCCATCTAAATTGACCATCAAGGCATTTGAACCGGTGCCAGCAATTAAAACTATTCCACCGTTTTCTAAAGCTGTTCTAAGACTACCCATAGTATCTGAATTGATATAATAAGATTTAGCAGCATTTGGATATTTTTGTTGCATCGTTTCCATAAGCATACGATTAGTTTTTTCTTCTTCGCATCCGCTCAGAGTAAGACCCTATTCATTTAATCGATTTTTTTAATTTAATTTATCGATGATAACAATCCTTATCATATATACGAATTAGTCATTGATATTATTCATTCGAATTGCAATAATTTTTTAATATTTACCAAGCAATCTAAAGGAATTATTTCAGACATTTCTATATTCTGTTTTCCTATTTCCACCATAGCGTTGATTCTGGCACTTGTTTCTTCTATTCCAAGAACCTGGATAAGACACACATAAAATATAAAAAAATAATTAAATAATATATAATAAAAAAATAAGAAAATAAATAATGATAAGAAGAAGAAATTAATGGAGGAGGAATACATGACGATTGTTCAAATATTCAATTAATACCCAATGATTAGTGCTCGGTCCTTTGACCTCCGTCAACACTTTTCCTTTTCCATCGATGATGACTAGTGTAGATTCAGTACCGCCGCTAAAAATAATTAAATTTACTGAATTTATTAATAAATTTATTTTATGTTAATATATCAATTATTAATACATTGCTTCATGGTTTAGTGAGCTTTATTTTCGATTGTTCATAATGTTAATATAATAGCACATATGGAGCAGATAAAAGAAATATGAATATATGTTTAAGAACAGAATATAATAGATTGTTACAATCACTTAAAATAATCATAGAATTAGACCGTAACTTGATTTTATACATGTTCCAATTATATCGAGAAGCATATATATATATAATGAAATTAAATATTTTATAATGATTATATATAAAAATATAAAAAGAAATATTTTCTAACAAATATAAATGTATAATTTATAAAATCAGATAAGAGATATAAAATATATAATAAATAATACTAATTTTTTATCTTATTTTATGATCAAATTCACAAATAATTATAATATGGTTTAATATATCATACATTATATATATTTACTGATAATGATGCACAAATTATAAACATATAATTTTTTATATTTTTTTTTAAATATAAATAAAGAACAAATTTTAAAATATGAATATTTCGTTTGTATGTTTATTTATTTCGATAAATATTGATAAATATAAAACTTTTCAAATTTCAATGAATTTTGACAATGAATTTTATATCGAAAATATTTTTTCACTATTTATAAAACTATAATAATATTTATACAAAGAAAAATTGTAAATCAAAAAAATGAAAATTTGTATCATGTAGCAATTTAAATTTCAAAATCAAAGATAAATCGCAATTATAAGTTATATAACTTTTCTACTTATTATTCCAAAAATTAAATTATTTAAATTATTAATAAATCTTTTTTTAAAAATAAATATTTTAATATGATTTTAAATAAATATTTAGATAAATATATGAATTCTGAATGTAGATTTTAAAATCAAATTTTGATTATGATGCTATATATAATGCTATACGATAACAGATAATATGTTTATATATTTTAATTGGATTTTATCAGTATATATTAATGAGGAAAGAATTTATTAGTTAAAGTTGTTATTACATTGATATTATAACTATAATTTATTAGAAATTTAGTAAAATTTTCATAATAATTTTCATATGATTTAAATAAAAATATTAAAAAAAACGAAGACAAAAAATTTTTTTAAAATCTCTTACCCCTCGACGCCCCCGATCCTTATTTCTTCAGGATATTCTGGTAACTCTACCGGTGGTTTAATTAATTCTTCGTCTTCTAACATTCTTTTTCTTTGTTTTCTTAATTCCCTACGAAGTTCATTTTCATCAATCTTTTTCTTCTTCGCCCTCTTTCTTCTTCCTGTCATTTTTTTAATGAGATGATTTCAAATTTTATTTCATGATTTTTTCCATTATTTTTTCTTTCGAGAAAAGGATCCAGGAATTTGAGGATGGGATTTAAACAGGCATATTTATCTAATAATGTACAAAAAATATAAATTTAAACATTTTATCATAAGAATAGACTAAAAAATAAAAGAGAATGATAAATTCTTTAGATAAAATAGATAGAATAGATAGAAGAAATAAAATAATGTATTTAATAAATATATTTTTACTTTGTAAAAAAATTCTAAATATTTAAATTTTAAAATTTATAGATAAAAAAAACATAATATTTAAAATATATATAAGTATAAACTTAACGATGTAAATGGATAAATAATATAATCATATGATATATATTAAATTTCTGTATTATGTCAACTTACAATAAAGACTTGGAGTATGATTAAATAAGCATATGTCGAGCAATTATTAAAAATGTTGAAAATTTATAGAGAACAATTTCACGTGATACAAAAATTTTGAAATGGAGAAATGTAAAAAGTACTATAATGTTAGTGGCGAATGTTTACCTATAACTAGAGAATTGCTATGCTAGGAGAAGTTGCCTTCGTTACTACTGTTGCGTTGTTCACATTACATACAACTTAAATATTGCATCCACTACAATGAAATTTCATGAAATGTTAGAGAAAAGTAGGGATTTGAGACCTAACATTAACTGAAAAACTGTTGGATGATCAACGAGTCAATAATCGACTGGTCTGACATCGATAAAAAACTTTGAGAACTAAATAAATTTCTTCTTTTCTTATCGATAAAATTTCATAAAAAAAAATCATATCTTAAATAAAAATTGTATAAATTATAATAATATCATCTATTTTTATCAAAACAATAAGTGATTTATAAATAATATTAATATGTGATATTTAATTTTTAGAAATTATACTCCTAAAAAAGTTTAAATTATATAGTAGAATTCTCCAATCATATACACATTGTAGGCGACATCTGCCGGTAATTATTGAAACTAATAATACCAAAAATATTTTTAGAGTGTGCTATCTACTTGAAAGTCCGATTAATATTATAGTTCGTGGTTGCGACACCGTGAGAGCCGCGCGGTGGCGACCGCACTCTCAAGTTCGGCAGCGCGCAGCGAGTTGCATCGAAACGCGAGCGAGAAGGTGCCCATATGTATTTCGTCTGGTGCGTCGCCGTCGGCCATTGTCTTTGACATGGAAGCCTATCAAAATGGCAGAAGTCGTGCAGATGTTTTTGTTCCTATATAAATCGAAGTATCGTCGGAAAGGGCAGTGCCGTGAGGTGGTACGAGATCAGTGCGGTGTAATTGCGGTGCCGTGGCCAATACTGTGGGCGGCGCTGATTTGTTGGGTGGTGCACGTAACTGCGGCTGCCTCCTCCTCCTCATCGTCGCTGACGACGGATACGACCTGCGACACGGACAGTTGCGTCAACGGAGACTGTGTCAATGGCACTTGCGTGTGCCACGAGGGTTGGCAGGGTTCGGCGTGTCAATTTTGCGGTGGAAAAGTCAAGTGAGTAAGATAGAATGCGCGAGCATATCTTTCTTATAATATTCGAGTCCCATTTATTTTCGATAGCAATTTCTTATTACATTAATTATAATGTAAATATGTTTTTTTTTTTATAAAGAATCGATAGCAATAATATTCATAAAATTATACGGTTGAAGACACAAATAGGCTAACTGTACATTCTGTCGAACGTGCAACGGTATTGACGGCTTTTTAGGTCGACTTGGTTTCTTAGCAGATTGATTGTCTTTCTTCAAATCTTTTTTTCGAGGAGACATGTAAATAAACTGGAGAGAACGTGCGTATGCGCGCCTTCCTTGAATTTAATTGCTGTATGCGCGTCTCATGGCCTTTCATAAGAAGGGGAATGGGGAGTGTTCGGTCATTGTCTGCGGCTCTGGTTGACAATGAAGACCCAACTAATCAGGACATTGGTAAATCTAACGATACACTGATCGCGGAAATTAGTCGAGTTAACTTTGGTTCGATGCATTTCGCGATTTAATTTGCCAAAGATTAGATTTTATATCGATCGATCGCTACGGTTTTAAACTTGGCAGGGAAATTACGGTTTCCGCCACTGTCAAGGCTGGTTTGCTTTTTCACGCGCGCTTAACGTAATAATCCCCCTCCTTGTTAACGACGACGGAATGTTCATCCAAAACATCGAATTCTGCATTCTAGAATGCTTGTGTAATATTTATTCTAGAATTGCACGTAGGCACTTGAGAACACTCGGCATCCCTGGTGTTGAGCAATTGCGGTGAAATCTAATGCGAATGTCGTTACGGAACTCTCTCTTTGTTGCGTTTTGTATTTTGATTCATTATGTCGAGGTATATAATAAAAAGTTAGTAACAGTCGCTAAGATTTGAACAACGATTATATGTTAAGTTTCTATGAAATGCATTAGAAAAATTATCTTGATTAGTAGTTATCCTTCGTTTTTTATGCATTATTTTACATGCATTATATTTTTCATTAAGAATTTTCATCATCATATCATATTGAGATACATAAGTTGATTGGTAATTAATATTCATAATAAATAAGTAAAATAAAAGAATGATAATGTTGCTTTCCAAAGTCTCATTGATATTGGTTGAATAGTTGATCAACACTTTTGCTAAATATTAATTCCTAAAAATTCATCTACACATGCATAATTATGTTTCATAAATGAATACTATATATTACATTCGCGTGCTTTCATAAACGCATTATATATATTATATATATATATATATTACACATATATAGTAAATATTGATATACTTGTGGAAAGTTTGAAGTCGGATATCTGATCGCTTCGTAGCGATGTTTTAACGACGTAAATTGATCGGACTTAACCTGGATTCAACTAGAGGATGCCGTTTCAAAATTTCATCGTACTCGTGAATAATTGGCGCTGGAAATAACCGCGCCTCCGGGGCCACGTAAACGTGAACTTCTACAGACACGAAACAAAACAGTGAAAAGAAAGGGGGCGTTCTTAACCACGAAAACAACCATGCATGCTCGGTACATCGTTGCATCTATTTATTCATTACTCTATGCTTGTCATGGACTAACGAGATGAAAATGCTGACGATATATCAAATGGTCTATTATCGTTCTAATTTTCTACAAATGTGATCGTAACACATATTTGCAATGTCTTGAAGAATTTATCGTTTCAAATTTATTGCATATCAAGTATTCTTGCGTATATATATGTAACGCATTGGAAAAATCAACTTTTTTTTTAAACGTATTAAAGCATTTTTTGTAATGCTCATTTAAAATATAAACATAGTCCATACAATAGTCAATGAGCAATAATGCGACTATGTTAATTCGTTACTCAGTCCATCTCTTTTCTATTGTAACTCATTTTAATTTGAATTGCGCGCGCTAATTATGAAAGACATGCGTGCTTTTGTTTTGACAGCAGTTCACACTTGTGCGAATGATTAAACACTTATTAAAGATTTTGTTAAACGATCAATAGTTCGTAATGATTTTTCTTAATTAATTTATTGTTAATCAAAAAATTCCTAAACTTTAACTTTGTTGAATGGAATTTTAAAAATTTTTTATATTATTTTGAATTTTTTACATTATCAAATATAGAATATTCATTCAACAAGAATATTTCATTCAGACAAGATTTGATTCATTTTTATCAGTATTAATTAGTTAATATTAATTTCTTCTTTTTTATTATAAATTCTTTTTTTTTGCTTGCAAGAAGAATTCTTTTTTACAAGGTCGCTGTGGTTATTTATAAAAAATTTTTAATTTAAATTTTAAAATTTTTAACATTTCAATGATTATAATACTGATTTTTGAAAAATAGTAATCAAGTGTCTCTTACTGAATGTGAAGATTGATTATTATGGTTAATTATAGAATGTCTTGTTTGGAGGGAGGTTAAGAAACAATATGTTAATACAACTAAACTTCGATCCGCTCTAATCGAAGTATTATCATAATATCTCGTGAAAATAGAACGAATATAGAACATTTCAGGTAACCCGGGTACACGCGTTACAAGAATGCGAAACAACGGCGGTAAACGAGCCGACACGGGAGATTCTTCAAGTGGAAACAAGGGAAGAGAAGGCGGTCTCGAAGGACCGAGGTGAGAAACAAAGTTCCTCGCCGTTTCCTAACAATAGAGAAACGATTTCGGTACAATATCGTGTAATATTGTACATATATAGATAATACCAGATATAAACAGACGATAATATCGTTTTACAGCTCGTAAAAATTTCGTTTTCATTAAAAATTCGTTAGAAAATTCTTTTTTCTTCTATGATTAATAATTCAGGTAATCCACATATAATATTTGATAATTCATAAATATAATTCATATTGAAAATTTATAATTTCCCTTTTAATTTTGTCTTCAGTCTTTATATTGTTGCATATTGCCTAATAAAATTGTTATTTAATATTTGCTAATGTTTTTATTAATATCATTTAATTTATTTCTTACAGAAATCTATGGTTCAATAGTCATAAAAAATTGAACGCTTGAAAAATTGATTGTTAAATTCAATTTCCATTTTTATTTTGGAATCAGTGAATCACATAATTAAACTTAAAAGTGTATTTAATAACTTCTTGAAAATTCAAATCAGAATTGAGCAATATTTAATGAAAATAAATATTAGAGATTATGATTGAAATATATAATTATCAATCACAATTAAGTTGAATTTTTATTTAATTTATATATAATCATAATTAAATTAATTATACAATTGATATTTCGATTAATTATTAAAATTCTTTTTCAGGAATTAATAATCTGAATAAGATATTATTTTATTTTAGATATTTTATTTTAATTAAATTTTGATAAAAAATTGATTAATAATTGAGGATTAATATTTTTACGAATGATTGATGATTCATCATTTGATTAAATCAGTCATGATTTTTGGTAATCAATTTTTTTTAGTCATAAATATTAATCGATCAATCAAAAAAAAAATTTAATGGATTATTAGATTGATATCGAATGTTATTTTTCGTTTTTTTTCTTTTTCTTGATCGAGACAATTTTCCTTAAAGTATAATTCTCTATAATAATTATGAACCCAAACTATATAAAATCTACAAAAAAAGAAATATATCGAACAACACTATCTGATGTTTGCAATTAGCAATTATTTTAATAATCCAAGATATTTCTCACATTTATTCATACAAATAATAAAAGAAAATAAAAATGATGAAATATCGAACGATATAAGAATAATTCTGGATTCTCTTACAAACTTATATATAATAATATTCATTAAATTCCTATAAATAAATGAATTTGTCATGAATGTTCATTAATTCAGAGTATTAAGAGATCCAATTCGCTTGGAATAGTAATTAACACCGAATGGATGTAATTAATCTCGTAATAAGGTATGTTCTAGTACAATCTTATGCATTCATTGGTTATCGATTCAGTTGGCGAAATGAATGATATCAAATTGCAGAGTACAAACAGACTGTTGTGGCTGATGGTAAACGTTATCAACAGTAATTAATACACAGTATAGAAAGATTAGCACGATTATGATAAAACAGTGTTCTGCTCGATAATTATTGACCACAACAATTGGATTCTCTCATTTAGAAACCATAAATAATCTGGTATTTTATAAATTATATATAGATTTAAATACTATTTAAATAGGAATCTAAAATTTATATAAATTTATGAAATTAAATCTGTAAATAGAAGAAGAGAATTTAAAATTAGAAATTATTTTTTTTTTTTATGAAAAGTAATTTTACTTTATTTAAATTTTATTATTCAATATATATATTTTTTCTTTTTCTCAATATCTTAGTGATTATTTTTATCCCTTTTGATTCATTTTGAATCTTTTAAAGTATTATGTTTTTAATAATATTCTGATTACATAATTGATGGTCTTTGATTTTAGAATCATTGAATATGAGATTATGAGAAATAAAAGTGATTATTGCACTTTGAATGTCTGCATTGATAATTATTTCATTTCGAATATGATTATTAAATATTGCGCAACTAAAAAAACTAAATCATGCAACATAGTGTTGCGTATATCTGTTTACAAAAACTTGAATTTATATAATAGGAAACGATATAGAAAATTGATACGTGAGTTTTTTCTTTCTGCAAACGCGAAAGTTATTACTTGCACGCATGTTAAATGAAACAATACCCGTAGGTGGCATTGTGTTTTCAAAATTACTTCGACAAGCAGGCCATGAAGTTTCTCGGTACATTAGAAAAACGATTCGACGTATTAGAAATTTTCTCATGATCCTGTAGCCGTTTCAAACTTCTCCCAGTTCAATCCAGAAGCACAAAGTAGATACCGGTCTATGTTCCAGAGGCCAAGTAATAGCTAGGGAAATTGGAAAGCGTTCTAAATGCCACCCGGTCCATAAACTCCTCCTCCTCCTCTTCGTCCTTTGCATTCGTGCATACGTTTAATCCGGTTGAATATCAAATATTCACGTCAACGTTTATTATATGACAAATACATTGATATGATCTAACATTCTATTCAATATAATACCAGATCAAAATCAATATCTAATTTCAATATTCATATTCAATATTTCAATTCACAATGAACATTTTACCGTTTTAAAATTATTTTTCAAAATTTATCTATAAATATAAATAATTAATTCAAATATTAATTCCTTATAATTTAATATTAATTAATAATTAAAAAAATATATTAATAAAAAATTATTAAATTGTTTACATTACCCCATATAATACTCGTTTTAATTCGATTTGTCTCTTCGATTTCAAATAAGATAATTTCTTCTATAATTTAATCAATATTCAACTTAAAAATTTATAATTTCAAATCGTATTAAAAATATTCATTATTCGGTCTTAATATATACTTTATATTATAATCTGACATCTGATTGAAAGTCCTCCCATTCGCTTTGATTCCAATCTCAATCCATCGAATTTTAAACGGCTCTCGCCACACAGGGTCATCCGTTCGATCTTGTTGAAATGAAGCTACCTGGCGGCGCGTGGACAAAAACCGGCAGGACAACCGGTAAGAATTTCGACTACGTTCCAGTTCCAGATTGGCGTCGATCTAGAAAATGACGTACAAATTTATCCTCAGAATGAAAATTGACGAACTTTTACGTCTTCCACGTCCAACCTTTCGAGAACCGGAGATGCAATCAGTAGCACCGTGCCGGTTTCCCGCTAGGTTTTATCCGTTCTATCCTATCATTGAATTATGAAGGATAAAACTTTATATAATATCTATTGGAATAATATGGAGAAATGATATGGAGAGAGAATCGTGGAAGTTGGATTAAAATTGATTTTTTTTTTTTTTGCAATTGATCATTCGGTGCTCAATTTTCTCTTTCCATTTTGAAAATCACTTAAGATTTTATGTATTGGATTTTTTATTATTGATCTTTATTTCGATTGTTGTTCGATGATCGATTTAATCGTTTTACGAATGTTAGTCCACGTTGATTAAAACGTATTTGTGAATAGTGATCAGGGATCTGATTATATAAATACTATGATTAAATACTTTTTACTTGAAATAAAATTTTTTATAAATAAATTCTAAAACATTATTTTAAATGATTTATTCATCAAGAGTTTGATTATTATTTGAAATAATAATAGAAATTAAATAATAAAGTTATTAATATAAGAAACTTTGAAAAATAATATACTCAGATAAAGCAATAAAAAAGTGGCTCAAAAAAATCATTCCATATTTTTGCATTAAAATCAGATAATCTAAATATTGAATAAATAAATAAAATTATTAAATAAAATAAACAAAATTATCGAAAAATCGAAGTCCAACCGTTTATCGATTCAAGCTAGTATGCAAATACTGAGAAATACTGAATGAAGTTAATGTAATCGTCGAAAGCCACGAAAATAAATATGGCTTATTTGCTCAGTGGCAAATTAACCAGTTATCGCGACCCAAATAAATAATATTTAGTTATTAAAATAAACGAATATTCTAATATTAATTGTAATTTTAACATCGAAAGTGGAATAGAGAACGGTTCTATCATCAGAAGAAATAATCATATCTTCGAAGACAATATCTACATGAATAGCAGACTTATATGAATAATATGGAATGGTAATTAAATTCGCCACGTTTTTTTAGTCGATTGATTACAAATTTAATAGCCAATTATATAGTTATCTAGAAATAAACATTTCGTATAAAAATGTAAACACGTGGAAATTGTTTACGACATTGTTTGATTTAATGTTGATTAATTCGTACTTTACCAATTTTTTTTCGTATAAGAGTTACTTAATTGAATCAATGTCACGATTTCTGTAGGACAGCAAAAAGACCAAGGCTTATTTTATGATAGGATTATAAACTAAATTGATCGATAAGAATTTTAATTATATTGAAGCGTATTTTTGGCTTATCGGTTTTTGGTTTATCTAGATCTATTTAGGTGTTAGGTAATTTTGTATTCTGCTGCAGAATTGCAAGTTAAATTAAATGGTGTAATTTAAATGGAAGATTAGTAAAACGAAGGAAAACAAAATTCTATGCATGCACAAGTGGCATTTTCCTTCATTTCTTTAAATTATAAGATTGTTTGTTTATCTAACAAACATATTTATTAATATAGTTATTTTTCTATGTTAATAACATAGTTAGTTATTGAAAAAATTTTTCATAAATAAAATTAATAAAAAATAATATTTTTCTAAATTATAATATTTATTAAAATATTTATTATAGTTATTTTTATTTAAATTAAAAAGAGAATCATCATAAAAATAAAATTCAATTCTAATATTTATTACATATTTATCATTAATCTTAATAGGTATCTTCAAAGATTGAATTATTAAATTATGCAAATCTCCACTCCTGATGCTTATTACTACTTAATTTATTATTCCAAAGGCGTAATTATATCAGTTTAAAATAAAGAAAAAAAAAAAAAAAGAATCAGAGAAAAGAGAGAGAAAAAAAAGCGAACAAAGTTTCATCGCATAGCATTACACTTCTCCTTAGTACCGTAAGTCTCATAAAAATCCAACCAACCATAGTTCCAGAATCACGCTCTATTTTCTCGTAAATCTCAAGCACTCTTCAGAAGATGTTCTTCGTCTTCTTCTTCTTCTTCTTCTTCTTTCGAGTGGTTCCCTTTATGGTTCGCGCCAATGCTCCATCCTAAATATCCATCGTTGTTCCTTTACCCGTTTTCTCTTCTTTGCCTGTTTTCTTCTCTTAATTTCCATCGTGCCATAAGTTGACGTTGAAATTTGTTTTTACATCCCTTTACGAAGAATCTTGCGCGCGCATCTTTCATTATGAATTCTTCCCGCGCTTCTTAGTCATCTGCCAGTTCAGTAAATTGCATTGGCCCTGCAACAAGCATGGCATTTCGTAGACATTGGAAATTATTCTTTAATTTACGAGTGGTGAACGCAGGTGAACGAACTTTGCCTTTTAACGTTTATTAGCACTATTAGATTTCGAATATTCTAACCTTTTCAAAGATAAATTCAATATCAATAATATGTGAATGATTTATTCATAGTAGTGTATTCGTATATAACTTAAATTGAAAAATTCAATTTTTTTTTTAATAGAAATAAAATCATGGACATAGGACCGCAAAGAATTAAGATATTTATTATATTTAATCAAAAATAGGAAAAAATTGGGTAACTATTAAAAGTAAAGTTTATAAAAATAAATATTAAATTAATATTTATGATTTAATAATCTATTAATAATGATAATATTAGAAATGATAAAAACTTTTCTTCTAATAAAACTTTATTTAAGTTAAATTATAAATATTTTATATTTACTACTATAGATGCATTCAATCATAATAAATTAAATCATTTTTCTTGAATGACTTCTTTATAAAATTATTTTATCATATATATATATATATAATTTCTAAAATGAATGATGCAAAAGATGAAATAGAAAAAAATGTCATGATGATAACATTATAAAATATTTAAAAATACTGACTGATCGCAAAACATTGATGTTTTTGTATATATGTAAATTAGATTATTATTATTATTATTATTAATTAAATTAGAATAGATTGCTTGAAGAAATGGATAATTTAAGATTTGTATTAAATATTTATTAAATGATTGATGAAATATGAAACTTTTTAACGATTACATATTCTAGAAGTTTCTATAAGTCATTTCTTATTATACTGTAAAATTTATTATTGACATTGTATTATAAAAATCAGTATAATGTCAATATCGTGATTTGATTATTAATATCATATGATCATAAATCTATTTCTTTTATTAATAGTAATAAAATTCCTAATATATTAAATAATTGAAAAAATCTTTTACTATAAGTCAGTTAATTAAATTTATAAATTTAATTAACTAATAATATAATAAATATATGATAATATAATTCAATGATTCAATGTTTCTAGAAAAAATTAATAAATAAATAATAATTATGTTAAAATAAAATAAACATAATATTTCTTAGTCTAAAATTCAACCTGACAGGGACACGAGAAATTTAAAAATTCTCTCAAATTACAAATATGATATATGCAAATATTAGATTCATTTGATACAAGAATCTTGATACTTTCTAATATAATATACTAATTCTTAAAATAAATATATTGATTTACAATATTTTATTTTTTAGTTCTATAAAATTTAAGTATGTACGAGATTTCCTCAATGATTCATAATTTATATTCAATTTATACTATCATTCTACTTATTCAAATTATGCAAACATTACATCTTGCTGAATCTTCAAATATACATAACTATTTATATACTATATTTACAAACTTAATTTAAAAAAGAGAACAGTATAAACTCAGCATTCCGATATCTTAAACAACGCATTAAGCCAATTAAATACAAGTCAAACAAAAGAAAAACGTGTCCCTTCTCTTTGTTTTCTTTTGGAGATTGCAATACCATTGAAATTATCTAATTGATGATTAAAGTCAAGAAAAGATAATAAGATCGGTCGATTTCCTCAATTGGTAAACAATGTGTCGAAAGAGAAAAGAGATAGTTTCTTACTTGTATATCCCACGAGAAAAATAGCAAAACGTCCAGATCGTAAATTCTCCATTGTGTCGTTGCATCCCTCGTCGACATTCCCTTACTCTAATTTACCGCGTTTCTTTTAATAGCCATAGAGTCCTTTGCTTCCTCCATCGTTTGGCTTCGCATAAAGGCCGAGCTACGCCGCGCTGTGGCGCGTCGGTCGTCGAACCTCCTCTATGACTCATCCGGCGCCTTCTCGTTATTGAAAAAATATTATTTCGTGCTAATGAGAAACATATACAAATCGTGGAAGCAGATATAGACGAATCTTGTCGTTGTATTAGAATTAATTGTCGTAAATTATGCGACTCGTGTAAATTTTATCGCGTGAAATTTTTTTTTTCATGAGAATTTTTTTCACATTTTGTCTAATTGTTTATGAAGGAAATCTGGAAAATTTAAAAATACAAAAATATAAAAATTTTATATATGAAAAATTTATAAAATATTAAAAATTACAATATTCATAATAATATTCATAATAATATTTGGTCGAAATAAGTCATTTTCTAAAATTCATTTTTTTAATTGTATTAATGAAAATATGAATATGTATATAAATTTATATGTTCATATAAATTGAAGTTTAAAGTAAATTTGAATTTCATTTCATGTTTGCGAATTATTTTATGGAAAAATCGTAGAAAATGAATAACTATAAAAAAATCGAAATCAAAATTTCATTCCAAAATTTTAAAATTTCAAAAATTTTTTATATACATAAAAATTTTTTTAGTTTTATAAATGAATTTTAGAATGATTATTATTAACGCGTAGGTGGATAATCGTATCTGTGAGAAATCGTTGCGCAATTAACGCGAGACGAATTAATTACTGTCGGTGAAGCGAACAATGTTTCCTAAAGATTGCGTTGCGAACAGATTATTGAATACTTGTTTGCAAAGATATTTTAATTATTATGTATTATTATGTAAATCGATAATATTATTAAATTATTTGTATAATTAATTTTTTATAATATCAGATAGATATATTCTGTCTAAATTCATAAATCTAATTGTAAGTATTTTAAACAACAATTTAAAAAGTCAAATAAAATCATGAAATAAAAGAATGTTTCGAAATAATTATTATTTTGCTTTCATCATTGAAAATAAAGTGAAATAATGTATAAGTGAAATAATAATGTAAATATGCAAATTAAAGATAAAAAAGAAATCTCTACTATTGAAAGACAATAATTTATCAATAATTTAAATTGATACGTAAAAAATTAACAGAAACAATAGAATTAATACAATATTAAGTATTAACCTTTTGAAGACTAATGGAATAATAAAATGATGCTCTTTCGCACAAACTGTCGATTTTTAACTTGACATTTTCTTGAATGATAAATGTGTAGATTAAAAAATATTTCTCGCAATAAAATAAGAATCGGCTGAACAATTTTATTGGTCTTGTAAAACTTCATAAAATTTATTAATTATTTCATAAATTTTATATTTTTAGACATAATTAATTATTTTCCTTTTCAATCAATATTACATTAAAATCTTTATCTCTTTTACTTATCAAGAAATATAAAAGTATTGAATAAAAATGAATTTTTCATATTTCTTCTCAGGGTTTTTTTAAATATTTCAAATTTTTATTTGAATATATTTTTTTTTTTAATTAAAGATTCGTCTCTTCGACTATACGATTTTTCATTTTTGTTTTCGATTCGATTTCCAATTCTTTATACAAAAATGTTTTGCACTAAAATAATAATCCTGGTATCTTGCTTGTGACACGTATTACTATTGTAAATCATTGATAAGAATTTTTTTGTAAAACAAAATGTATGCTTACGCATCGATTCTGACACATTTCATATTTTTTTCTTTTCTATCTCCTCTTTTCTTTTTTTTAATACTGTTTTTGCGTTGTGAAAGTCATTATTGTTATTCGTCGAATGTCATTGATGACAATGCGCATCCGTTTTCAGGACGGGATCGTTCACATAAATGCGTTCCCAGTATCAATTTCAACGCACTTTTATGGATAAAGTCGTATGTTTTTCACAACGTCAATAATTCTCTGTCTTTTTCCAATGTCGACGACATTACAAATATCATGCATAATCATAGCCGAGAAAATTTGTTTTAACAGATGCTGCTTTATTCCAATTTTATGTGACTATCATTTTACTTTAGATAGTACTTTATGATTAAATATTTTATTTAAAATAAAAACTTATAAAAATAAAAAAATAAAACTTGAGATATTTTAATTTTAAAAACAAAAATTGTTATTATTAAAAAAGAAATATTAATTTTTAATATTTCTTTCTTAATTTTCTTAAAAGAAAAAAATTTTTAAGTAATTTTTTTCTCTTAAAATTTTCAAAATAAAATAACAATAATTTGAATAAGATTATCTTGGAGAAATTCGGATAAAATTGAGAATTAAATTAAATAAAATATTTGAAACCATATAAATATTACGGTTATTATATTAATATTCAATAAACGAATTATTTATTACAAATATTTCACACTTACTTTCAAAATATCCCTCGATTCACACTCAGGGTTTTAATGAATCGAACGACATGATACATTCACGAAGAGTGAATCGAAACAGGAAGCAGGAAGTCTATCATGGTCACGATTCTTTATTCTTTGAAATTATTATTCTTCAAGTGTAGATCTTTAGTATAATCCATCTTTTTTCAATATCTCTTGCTCAGGTAAATATAGAAATGAATTCGTCACCTGGGGTGTTTGCACGTTTACCTCGTTAAAACTTCTCGCGAAAGTCGTAGGTTTCTTTTCTAATTTTCGACTTCCGGTATCTTTAAGACATTCATTAGTATAAAGCAATATGTTGGGCTGAAAACGAAGAAAGCTAAAAATTTTTTGGTGAATTTTCTAACTTTTTGTTGATTTTATAAAAATTACATTTTATTTTTTAATTAAATGAAATTATAAGATTGTGAATTTAGTATATTTTTTTTTATCATAAATAAATAATTTTTGAAACACTAATGAGATTAGACTGAATAATCAAATAAAAATATATAATTTTTTTTAATATAATAAAAGATAATTTTTTTAAATAAAGAATAAAATAAAAGAAAATTTAATGAAAGAAAACTTTATTATTCTTTGAAATAAAGAATAAATAAAAAATAAAAAGAGAAAATTTTTCTTTTATCCAATCTAGTAATTAATAATATTGATGAATTAAAAAATTACAACTTATAGGTTATAAACATGTTTTTGTATATTTTTAAAATTTTATTTATATTAAATCTTATAACTTCTGAAATCTCATAATTTAATTTAATGTGTAAGATAAGAAAATATATTAATGCAAGTTTCTTCTCTAATCTCAAAAAAAAAAAGAATCAATTTCACTCATATCACAAAATTCTGATTCATATCTCAATATAAGATTAAAATTTTTTTAATTTTCCACATTATCGTATCATAATCTCTAATCAATAAAGAACCATAAAAAGTATCAATTGTTCAATTGTAATTACACTTAATCCTTCATCGATTTAATCTTTTAATCGTGTATAATTCTCTCCTCATGATCTCGATCGTCCATTTATCGCATTCGATTTCACATCGTCTTATTTCGTTTCCATATTCCAATGTTATCGTTATCATGATTGTGGATCATTTGTATAGTCATCATCCTTGGTCTCAAAGAATATCGAAATCGATTGTGCAGATATGAAACTTAAAACGAAATGCATTTATCTTACTTCGAAATTATTTCAACAATAATAAATCGATTATGTTTCATGATTGGTCTTGTTTCATGAAAATCGTTTAGATAATCGATTTCAGAACTGTTCGAGTATCTATTCAAAAGTATAGAATTAGTCGAAAATTGCAATTTCTAGTGTAATTAAATGTTAAATCTCAATAAATTTTAATGAACAATTAACTTAAATAAATAAATTATGTTAAAAAACTTACAATTATTTAATCTCATGGAATAGTGCAATATATAAGTATTAGAATACTGGTGCCATCTTGCGTGATAATTTACTAACTAATAAAAGAATTGATGAGTTGAGTAAATTATAGGTTATAAACACAATTTTATAAATTTTTAAAGTCGAAAAGAGTGATTATTTTTTTTATTAAATAATTTCTTCATTTATCCAAAAATTATAATAAAATTTTGAAAACTTTTTTACTATTTTATTAATAAAATTTTTCATCAATGATAAATTCACAGATAAAATTTTTTCGTCATTAGAGAATTAATCAGGTAAAGATAATTTCAAGTTGACTTTCACTAATAAAATGCTTTATAAACGTATTCGTAAATGTTTTATTAGTCGATTTTCATTTCATTTCAAAGAATTGAAATGATATTAGCTCGCTTTATAAAGTCACTACGAAACCGACCTAGTTTGAAACTTTAAGACAGATGTTGTAGGGTAAAAACCAATGAAACTGCTTGAAAGTACAATAATCCTAGGACATTGTTTTTTTGAGATTAATATTTTTTGGAAACTGTAGCAAAATATAAATTTGTAAATATCATTTAATATAGTTTTTTTTGGAATTGTTAATAATTATTGTTAAATTATTGAAAATTAATTTTATATATCCTAGAAGATTACAGAAATTAATATATTGAAAATGGAATTATATAATTTTTTAAATAAAGTATGTAACAAGTAAAATAGAAAAATAATTTTAAAAATAAATAAATAGTTCTTAAAAATTCACTTATTTAAGTTTAAAATATAGTTTAAAATATCACATCAAATCCTTTAGATAGTATTTAAAGATTAAGTAATTAAATATATATATTATTTAAATATATAATATTTAAATTACTAAATAATTAAATTATATAAAAGGAAAAATTTTTTTCACAGAAATTCTGAGTTCTTAAATCTAAAAAAAAAAAGAAAAGAGAAAAAAGAAAAAGCCATGCATAAACAAGAAAATGGGTCACAGAGAAAATAACAACATCACAGAAAAATCAGGAAAGTACTGGAGAAAATTCTTCAATTAAAAAATTTCAAAATCCAATTGTTTTAACTAAAATTATTATATAAGTATCTATATATTTTTCATATCATTAATAGACTATAGATATTCATGCATTTATGGAAAATTTTAGTATGCAAAAATATACAGAATATATAATATGCAAATATATGTAAAATATTCATAAAATATTATATTTATTATGTAAAATAAATAGTAAAAAATGCACATAATATGCATAAATATATGTTAAATACTCACTATAATATTCCATAGCAAAAAATCTGTATTTAATATAAAATATAGATATATATTATTTATTATTAATAAAATAATTTATTAAATAAAAATTTTCATTTCATTTTATTATTCTATTATATTCAATTTTTTTATTTATCATTATAAGATTTTTAATTAAAAATGTTATATGAATTTAACATCAATAAATTCAAGATTATAATACTAGATTATTAGCGATACTTTGGGAATGTTTAAATTTTTATTCTTTATCACAAATATGAATTTGCATAAATATCTGTATAATATTGATCAAAGATTTGAATTTATCATGGTATATTTTATCAATTCTATCTTTTTATCATTGATATCGGTAATAATCTATCATGCTTTCATCTCGAACAACTATAGAATTGATGAAAGGATTTCGTTATCATTTACAGACTGACGGAGCCGACGGGAAACATCCACGACGGTATCGGGAATTACACGGCGGACGTAAAGTGTTCCTGGCTAATCGAGAGCAGCCCAAACTCCACGATACGGATGCACGTGGAGCAATTCGCAACAGAATGCGGTTGGGATCATATGTACATTTACGACGGTGACAGCGTTGAAGCGCCGTTGCTTGCCGTCTTCTCTGGATTGATGCACAAAGATGGCTACCACATACGTCGCGTTCCGGAAGTGATCGCGCGTTCCGGAAGCGCGCTCCTTCACTTCTACTCGGATGTCGCTTATAACATGAGCGGTTTCAATATTAGCTATAAGATTAATGCCTGTCCCAGCAGGTGAATTTTTACTGTTTGTGAAATT